AATTTTTGGTCCCATCGACTTATTTTCAAAAGTGATGACCTTTTTTTTAGGTCTTCACTTTTGTTCCAAAAACCCCGACAATCATTTTTTTTAACCCATCATAAATTTTTGGTCTGACCCTATCTGCAATTTTTGGTGTCAGAATCTATGACTACCATGACCAAAATTGTCGTATGCAATCTGACTGAAATAAAGAGATTTTGTTCAAAAATCAAAAAATGCAAACGCTTTGTTCACTGAAACATGTTTTTTATTATTATTTTGAATACATTGTATTTTGTTATTAATTAAATAGAAGTTATTTGTTATGGATTTGGTTGTTATTACGCTCAGAAAAAACTACACTTAAAGGACTCACATGAAATTAATTTGTATTTATCTAAATTTGCGAACTCCTGATACAATTAATTCATTAATTTGATTAGCTTCTGTATAATATTGGTTTGATGTGGCTGTTTGCTTGTTTTTTTTTGTGTGTGGGAGAGCAACTGGGTAAATGGGTGGCGATTGATGGCAATAAGTCTAACACATGCCAATCAAAATTGTGGGTACGAACTATATTGTGGTTGAACCGCACTACGGTTGCCTTTTCGTGTGTATTTTGGATTTTCATTGAACGAATTGTGGGCGCATTGTCCCATGAAATGGTCTCTATAAAACATAACTAGCAATTTAAATACGAAGTTTCCTTTTAGTTCTCTCATTATATTTTATGAATAGATTTCAACTTAAATTTTAGCTTATGCAAAATCATATTTTGACGGTGAAATGAAATTATTATTCCTTTCTCTAGTCTCTTTCATTTCATGCATCGTTCGTTTGTAAATAGAATCGATTGGGCTGACGGCCAATGCTAATCAAACAAAGTAACACATGGACAAAAGAAAGAAAAAAAATATCATACACTTAAAAATTATTATTTTATTTTCATGTGAAATGTAATTTTATACACTCTCTCACACTCAGACTAAACATCACGACAAGAGAACGAAAAAATAAAGAAAAAAATTGTACAAATATACATGTGTTTGGGAAGAAATTACGAATTATCATATTAATTATGTTTAAAAAGAATTATCATATGATTCGGCTCTTGCGCGACCGCATTTGTTCAATTGCAATATCGCACAACACAAAAACCGATCACCGTCTTCTTAAACGCTAAAGCAAAGCAAATAAATATTGTTTACCAAAACAAAAATTGTTTTTTTTTTCTCAATTATCATACAGGATTTTGTTTTTCTTTTTCTTTGCTCAATTTATAAAAAATAGAGTATAGATTATCGTAATTATTTTGATATCTAATTAAATTTTATTCGGGTTACACATTTCGTAATGAGGAGTTATTCTTATAGTTTAAGGTAATTCACGCGTTGAATCGTCTTATTTGTCAATGAACATCTCGTGCGAGTCGAGCGTTTATTCTTTCTTTGTCGATTTCTTTGTTACCAAAAAAAAAATAGAATATTTCGTTAAGCGAGCTGTAATTCATTGCATCTGTACGAAAATAGAATGAGACAACTGATTGGATTTGTGTGTGTATCGAAACACCGTTTCTTTCGATTGGATGGACAGTTAGTCTAGATGTCAACGATAGCGAAACTTCGTTTTTAATCTGCGGCACATTGAAAATTTCGCAACACAAAAATTGCATCTTTTTCTTTCATTTCTTCTTCAAGTGAAATATTGACTAAAACCAACTGTTTCCCGAAAATTAAAAGCACAAAGAAAACACCATCTTGTTGTAGAGGTTAATTGTTCGTTTTTCTTTAAAAAAATTCTAGAATTCTATCAAAAGCAAATCACTACAAAAGAAATTGTTTGATTGTCGCCCTGAAAGACGCATCCAATGATCCCAAAAAATATTCAATTATTGTTCCAAAAATGCAATCCGATTTTTTTTTTTTTTATTAAATCGATTAGGACAAAAGAATGTTTCCAATACTTTGTTGATGTCTTAAATTCACGTTGTTTTTGTTGTTGGTAGCTAAATTATCATTCTTGGTTTGTGTTCAAATAATATACGAATTAGTTTTTAAATAAATTACAATTTCTACAAAGGTTTGTCACGAAAATTGAGGGAAATTTATCAAATGACCACTCTAGCTGTATGTATCATTTTGAATTTAATTAAATTTATCTTCATTAAACTTCGGTTATCTAGTAGTACATAAATATTGTTACAATCATACACATCAAATATTGTTTTTTTGTTTTTTGTCGCTAGAATTGTGTTGTCTCTATTGCTCTATTTCTCTCGGTTTTTTTTTCTTCTGTGTTTGTTGTTGTGCATAAAACTAACCTACGAATTAAATTGGGTTAGTGTTTATTTTGGCCAGTGCCTGCATGTTTCTTCTTCCTTTCTTTTAATTCGAACAACAAACGTTTCGAAAGTATTCGATCGCATATTCATTCAATGGTGCCGAAAGTGATGTGGTTTGGTGACTGAAGGTCGAATCACATTAGGATAGGGAAGATTTGATCGTGTTGTTGGTGGGTGTAATTTAAACCTCAGTCGATCGATCATTATTTGCAGGAATGGTTGTAGGAATGGTTGAAGAGACACTGCTGCCGCTATCGTCGGATTTCGAGAGTTTTCGTTCGCGTCGATTGAAAATGCCACCCAAAAATCCGGGCTGTGCGACTCCAACGGCACCACTGGCACCAACAATGCTGCCAGTTGCAAGCAACAATGGCGATATTCCACTGTTTACTGCATTTAAAATACCTTGATTCGGTTGCGATTGCGGTTGCTGCACATGCACATTCAATGAAGAGAAAAAGAAAGACAAATTAGTAACGAGTTCGACTGAAGTTTACTTTTGGTGATGAATTTAGATGATTTTCTGAATTTGATGCATTTTTCCTACAATTTTTACCTGAAATGGTTGTTGCATATTGAGGCGAACCTTTGCGTTGTCACGAGATCCAGTACTGGCAGACGTGTACGATATCGACATGCCGCTATCCAATGATCCAACACTACCACGTCGTTGAGGCTTCTCATTTCCAACTATATCGAAAACAAGCGAAAGAAACCAATTAAGAAATTAACCAATGAAATTCATGTCGATTTGATATGTGAATCGGTTTTGTTTGAATTGGGATTTGGTAAATGTCATGAATGGCTATATGTGTTTGATTGGTTTGATCTATTTATAAATGGTATTCGTTCAATGATGTCAAAACAAACAAACAAACCAACGAAATTCAATGAAAGTGGATGAAATTATTGCATTCGATTATGCTTGAATTTGTCATTTTGTTTCTGCTTTCTTTGTCTATTTGCATGCAATTTGTTTAAACGAAAAGTAACTAACACTAAATGAAATAAATGCATATTAAAGAAAATTGTGAATCAGATGAGATACTCTAAAACGATAAATGGATATTCGAACAGAGTTGTAGACTGTTTTAATAGAAAGATAAATACTTTTTTTTGGATGAATTTGTTAAGAAAAGTTGTTTTTTTTCTTCATATAGCTAAATTATTGAACGGCATTGAGTATACATATATGTCTGACAAGTGCAAAGATGACATGGTTTTCGTTAGTTGTCGCTTGGAAGGGTATTTGCCAAAAAAAAAACTTGTGTGATTCGAGTGTATACACAAACACAAGACGTACTTAAATGATTATGCTAGTTGACAATGATGATAACAAATTTGCTGGATATTGGATGCATAAATACCGTTTGAACAATACTGTGCCATGTTTGTAAAACAAAACATTTGGAGATTGATTGAAGGCAATTTGATTGATTGATTGAATAGTATCGCGATTGTACCTTTTGGGGTGGATGATGACGACTTTCATTCGCTTTCTACAATTGTTTTTTTTTTTGTTGTTGTTCGGAAATGATTGCTTTGTACATACAATAAATATGATCATATACACAGAAAAAAACAGTGAATGAAATCTTTGCTTTGACTGTGTTCGTGTGTAGTGGCAGATGTTCAATGTGTGTGTGTGTGTGTGTGTGTGAATGTGTGCATGTGTCTGTGTCAAAATGTGTTATGTCATAGGTGGATATGCCGAAAAAACATCAAATTGTTGACAAAATAAATGAGGAAACAAGGGAGACAGGCAATCGGTATGTGTGTATGTCCAGAAAAGTTAGAGAGGTTGAGAGAGAGACAGATATAGAGAAAGAGAGATCATATTTACTTGATTTGGCTCGCTTGTGACCTGATTTTGATTGCATTTTTAGTTTTGTTCAAATTTTTTTTTTGGCACACTTCACGTACTCCACTCAGTTTTGTTTGTTTGTTTTTTTTTTGTTCAGATAACTTCTAGTTGCAATTGTTGGCATCACATTTCAGTCGATGAGCGTTTTATTTTTTACTTTTTAATTTCAATTAAAACAACGGAAACAAAACAACTACAATGCCGAATATGGGTAACGACATGCATGTTGCGGCATAAAAATGATGACGAAGTCGGACTCGACTAAATAGTGTTCATTTGATTATTTCTACATCTCGTTTGAGCTATTCGCATATATTTCTTTTTAATATATCACATTCATGTAAATATCACATTAGATCGGCATTTTTCTAGAAAATCGGTAGACGACTGCAAGACACAACGAAATCGATGAAAGAGAACAGACAGACAAATATGTGGAGAGAGAGAAAAAAAAGAAGAGAAAAGAGAAAGAGAATAAACAAATGAAAATCAACCCGTTCACTCAATTTCATTTCGTTTTTTTTTCTGTGTTTTTTTGTTGTTGTTGTTGTTTCTAGATCGAAAAATTGTCGATGTGTACGTGGTGTTGTTTTGTGTGTAATAATTTTAGGAAATGTATCGTGTGAGGATTGTTGTTTTTTTTTTGTTGTTCTTTTATTTTTTTTTTGTCAAATTTTGAAAATATAATAAAATAAATTATAATAATTAAAATTGTAAATATTATAATGTATTCTGTTGCCCATTTTAGCGGGGCTAGCGTTTCGCTTGTTCCTAATTAGTATCAATAATTTCCAATTTTTATCTTTATTCTATTTACAATTGTTCAATAGGTTGACTTGTGTGCTTTCGTAGAGAATATAATTAGACACACTTTCATTTTTGTTTTTCTTTCAACTTGCATAATCTAATTGAATTTAAATTTAACAAAAAAAATTCGGTTCGCATTTTGGTTTGATTGCATTGTATACAAGCTAATGCGCTGTCACTTTTGAAACAAACAAATTGATATACTGATTGATTTTTTTCTTTTACAAATGATGAACATATACACAATTAAAAAAAAAAATGATAACAAATGCAAAAGCACAAATTGATTTTGATCGCTTTCTCTCTTTCACACATTCGAACCATTTTTACACTATGCACACTTACTAGTTCATTTGTGGAACTTTAAACTTATTTGGGCCAAATTATTTCAAATGAGCCGAATCAAAGCAAAAGCGTTTATCTGAATGCTCCTAATTAAATAACGAAAATTTAAGACGGTTTGTATGTCAATTGGTTTAAGAACTCTCAAAAATATGATTTAAAAATATTTTTTTCGTTTGTAAAATTTGTTTTTTTTTTTAGTAAGCCTCTATTTTAAGGGAAAAGAAACAATAAGCTCGTCTTCTCATTTAATGTCATAGTTTTTCTTTTCACTTGTTTTCTATTCAACGTAATATATCACATTTTCAAGCTAATTGAATATGGTTTTGCACTTGCATTGGCTTTCTTCTACTCTCAATACATTTGCGATCAAAGGCTATTCCGAATTTTTCTATTGATTATTTGATTTTTGATCACCTTCACATTACAAATTGATTCAATTGATTGATTTGATTCATTGATTTGATAATGATCACACTTTTCTACAAAGTGATTTAGTCTCTTCGTCCTAGAAATACATAAAGAAATCAAGAGAGAAAGAAATAAAAATGAAAAATTCAACGAAAAACCAATTTTCATGACAAAAGAACTTAAGAAAGCATAATTCGAATTTTGACAAGGTAAAAATTGTCTAATAATTTCATGCGACGGCGTTTTTAATATGAACCAAAAGTAAAAACGTTCGAGAATTTACATAGAAAAAAATATACTATTGCAGCATTTAAAAAACCAAAACGGCGAGAACTGGTTCCATTTTAGTTCACCCGTCGAACAAACGAACCAACGAAAATTTCTTTCTTAACTCTATCGCTATTTAGTTATCCAAATCAGACTATTGTCATATTGAAGTGTTCATCATCACACTTACATTGTTCGTGCATATCCAACAATGAGTTGCTCAGTGCACTGCGCTTCAAGTGAGCCTCTGTGTGCGTTTCATTTTGTGGCGATTGATATGGACATGGGCAAACTTCAACGTCTGCAACACCTAAGTGGAACGAGATTTGATTAGAAAAAACAAGAAACAATGACTTCAATAGAAGATATTAAGGAGGTTGGGTTGAAATGTACCTGAATCCCGGTTCTCCGAACTAGCACTTCCGCCATTGTTTCGTGAGCTACGTGCCGATTTCTGGCGCTCTAATTCAGCTTCGATGCGCAGCGATTCCATTTCATCCATTTCACTGATCGATTCACGTAAGTCTTCGGCAAATTTGCAACGGTCATGTTCGTTGCGTGCATTGAATGTAACTAAAATTTTACCGTCCACTTTCTGGGACAATCGAATGCAGTATGGATAATCTGTAAATGAAGATTGAGAATGCCATCGTTGAGTAATTCTGTGGTGTTCAAGTTGATAGAAAGAGTAAAAGTGGAAGAGGGAAAATACTCACTTGGTACATCTAAAAGTGTAACAACCATTCCGCACAATGGGAAACTAACTCGAAATGTGTAGGTGGCTGAATTCTTTTTCTTATTGAATATTTTCGTGATCACTAGCAAATCGTTGAATAGAAACACTTCGCGCTGATGTACGCCGGGCCGTTCTTTCTTGTTAATATCGGGAATTTCATAGAGCCGACAATAGCACACCAATCGTCTATGTGGCAATGCGAGATTCGGTTTTTTGCCCACAATGGTAGCTTGCACCTTCATCACTTGGGTCATGTGATCGGAGCCGGGTTTGAATTCGTTGGCTTTAACACGCTCATAAATACCAACCAACATGTCCCGATCGATGTCATGACAATCGTCGATTCCGCGCAAATTTTTGATGAAATCTTCCACGCGCATTCGTCGCTCCGGCTTGAGGTTTGGCGTGTGCAAGTCCGTATTCAGCATTATGATGGCGAATGCCATTACGAAAACCTATAGAGAGATATCAGAGTCATTGAGAGTTAAAATTGGATGTTTAGCGAACAAATGAATCTTGCAAAGAAAACAACTTACGGTATCTGAAGAGCGTAGACGAGCGATCACATCGGAGTTGCATTGGCAATATCGTTGCGAGAAAATTTCCATTAAACGTTCAATTTTTTGTGCTTCACCCGGCATACGGAAGTAAGCTTGGAATTTGCGCAGGGCCACGTCGACTTGCATGCCAGAAAGATCCAGCTCACCGGCAAAACATTCTAACACGGCCATATTGAACTGATTCTGTAAATTGCCCAAATATTCGCCAATCATCTGTCGCGACAGTCCTTTGCGCGAAATCAAAAACCGTGCAACACCTTGCGGTGTATTCTCCAAAAATCCGCGCCGAATCAAATAGGTGATTCCTTTTTCGGGTTTCTTATTGAATAAATTCAAACCGACACGATACTGACGCTTTCGAATCGTTTCGGACACTTTGTAGCTAGGTGTGGTGACTAACGGTTCATGCTGTTCCATTGAATACTGAGCGGCGCTGGTGTGCGAACTTAGGTACTCAGCATCGGCCGATGGACAGCCAGAGCTTATGTGGTCCGGTGATTGAACTGTAGGATGAAGGGAAAATTTTACTTTAACCATTCAAATTCTATTTTCCTCTTGTTATGCATCGTTGAACCTACCTTTTCCTTTCCATTGCGGCGATGTTGAACGATCAGAGCCGACGTCACAATGCATACGATCGGCACTGCTATCACTTCCAGATGACTGAACTGAGCTAAGACTACCATTTTCAGCTGTTTTGCACAACCTTTATTTTGTGGGAGAGAAAAACACAAAGGATAAGTACCCAGGACGTAATGAAAGAATAACCAATCTCTATGGGATAACCGACAATTCAGCTTACCCATTTGGCCGTATTGCGCGTCCGTTTGGATCATAGCCACGATGTTGTAATGTGATGGAAGAGGTTCGTTTCGGCACTTCAGGTGGTACCCGTTTGCTGTTCTGTTGCTGAATCATTTGGGCGGTGGTGATGCGTGGTCGCATATAAATCTGTTGCGCTGAGTAGTATGGCTGCATGGGACTTTGGTTTTGTGAACTCCACGATGAATTCATCGATGAGTGTGACGAGTCAATTTGTGAGCTGGAATTCAAGCTAATGTCCTGTTGACAGTATGAATTCGAGTGCTGTTGATATTGATGTGTGTGTTGCATTTGCTGATAGGGGCCCTGTTGGATCGGTGAACTGTGATAGTGTTGTTCAGATGCATGCAATAGATTCACATGTGGATGTGAGTGTTGGTTCGACTTTGTCCATGCACCGCCACTCGACACTGGGCTATTCGATTCACCTGATGTTGGTGTCATATTTCGGCCATGGATACGATATTTTCCACTGACATGACTCGAATTTTCTGGTACCTGATTGGCATTTTCCGACCACGAAGCATCCATACTGCGACGTTCACGCAACGACATCGAACGAATTGGTGCCACACGTGAACTGGATGGTGTTACCATACTGCATGCACTACGATTCTGACTACCACTACCGATGCTTACATCTGACTCCGATCCAGCGCTAACATTCACATTTGACACATACGATGAACTCAACACATCCTCACTGTGGAACAAAAAAAAGAAGACATGATAAAACGAAAAATACAAACGGTTTTCACTCCGCAAATGTGAACAATGTGTTTTTTTATGTGTGCAACTTACGCCAATGGTGAGTTGTGCATCTGTTGTTGCTGTGGTTGCGGTTGTTGTTGTGTAGACAATGGCAATCGTCGGCTCAATCGTTTTTCGGCTTTGGCCATTGCCGTGATCGATGCAAATTTTTTAACCATTGTATAGTGTCGGAACGCTCTTTGAATTGTGATGGCAGCATGACGAGCTCGAATCCCTCCATACTTTCGTTCGAGCATTTCAATTTGCTTGTCTAATAAATCTTGAGATAGTTCATACCTATGGGGTAAAAAATTGAGGAAATTGAATTAATATTTTTTTGAGTAAAAAGTTGATTAATTTTGGAATATCGCAAGAATTGAAATTTTAAAATAAATTCTTCAGGTCAAAAACGAATGTGTTCGAATGTTTTCAGCAGCATTTTTCATACCAAACGAATTTAACTTCAAGTGTACAGCAATATTTCGGGCTGGTCTCAGTGACAGTGTCTGTGTCTGTGCTTATCGGTTGATCTGAATCAGTGCATTCATCGTTCGACAAGCATTTAATAGGGATTATTGTTTTGTTTCTATCAAGCGATTCATTGAATTTTTCGCTATGAACAAAAGTTCGATTCATTTCATTTGACAATTGATTTAAATTCATTTCAACACTAGTATTCATTGCACTATCGTCTGGAATCATTTCATTCAACGATTGATCGTCAACGCCAATCTCAGCCGAATTGTCGATGCTTGGATTCGGCGAAGCTAATATCAGCGTTAAACACGTTTTATATTTTGTATCATTCAACATAATTTCATTATTTAGTATTTCATCATCTGCATACATTGAATTTTAATTTGGCTATCGGAAGCCAAATGACTATCACCGAATCATTGTCTCTGTTTTGTTATCGGAGAGCAAAAAAAAAATCACAACAGCTGAAACGTGTACAAAGAAAGGGAAATGAAGCGAATGCAATAGGTGCCGAAATTTCATTTATTTTCGCATACGCACGAATGAGTTGATTGTCGGCTGAAAGTGAACACTTTGACACCAAATGAACTGAATAATGGCGAGATAATTTCAACGAATTAATGATGACCGCGTACAATGTGTTTCGATATGAACATTTCTCCCATATCAATTTAGCTCGAACGAGCGAGAGCGAGAGAGATTGCGGGAGAGAGAGAGAGAGAGAGAGAGAGAGAGAGAGAGATTCAGGGTGGAAAAGAAAAATGCTGAGAACAGCAAGTGACGAATCATCGCTCAAAGCTGAAACGAACAAACAACAAAGAAATGTAAACATACAGTATGAAGAGTTTAATATCAATTTCGGTTTCGTTGTGACTAAATTAGAATATAAAAGTTTGCTTGCGTTTGTGAAATGGGTTCAATATTTTGCCTTGGTGCTGCTGATGATGATGCAGTGGCATATTTTTTTCGTCAAATAAACAAATAATTATTTATTGACTAAATAGTTCGTGGATATTTGAATGCGTCATATGTTTGGAGCGACAATGGTGGCAGTGATGATGGCGGCGACGGCCGCAACAACGGTGGCGAGCATTTGCAATGAGTTGGCTGTATTTTCACAATTGGCGCGTCACAAAACGGTCAGCACCTTTTTCGGACTGAATGTTAATTTAGCATTGCATAAACAGTGTCGCATTTTGTTGTCGTTGACTGTTTCGAATGAGACTACTCATCGTTGCACAGCACTCAAAATATGGACGAAAATGACGGGCATGGAGTCAATAAAAAGGTTATTAAATCAACTCCCACAAATGTGCTGGTGCTGATCCCATTTTGATGTTGTTGTTGTTGTTGTTGTTAGTTTCGCCAAACAAAGTCGACGACTTCACTGTTATCATGCTCTATTGTGTGTGGTGATCGATTAAAATTTGAGAGTGTCAAGAGCAAAGCCGTTAAATATCATTTATTGCCACTGACATTTCACTCTCAATTGCTTCATCATCACACGTATGCATATCGCTTGTCTAAATGCAACCCAGTTTTTTTTATGTCGTTGTCCTCCCATTCATTTTATGGCGAGAAATCATCGCATTCACGAAGCGTCCATTCATGAAACTGGTCCATTTTCTAAAGAATGGACTGTAGGCCAAATGACGCGCACGCTTATTGAGAATCTATAATTATCGTTATCTGCAGTGAAACATTACAACGTGCTCATGAATCACATAATAGATTGCAATTTTTCTCTTTTCTTCTTTCATTCTTCATGCAAAAAAAAAGACTCGCATTGAGTGCGAGCGATATATAACTGAAAATCATGCAACGTTTTTTGTTTTTTTCTGAGTCGTTCGCATGTGAAATCTTTCATCTTTCCATTTCAATTAGGCGCTTTTGCACATCACATTACCTCGTTAGGCATAAATGCAGCACGGAAAATTTGTGCAATAGACAAAACAATGAAAACGAACATGATGAAGAAGAAGAGATGGCGAGATAAAAAAAAAATACAAAAATTGGTACGAATTTTGCGATGCACAATTTCACACACTCTCTGCACTTTATGATAATTGTGCGCGCTCATATGGGGTAAAAATAGAAAAATGATGCTGTTAATTTGATTGCTTTATGTAAATGGATCGTCTTTTCCGAATCGATGTGTATGTGTACAATGTACGCGATTCGCTCGATTTTCGTTTCAGTTCAAGTTCATTTTGGCATCTGGTTGGTGTGTTCCTTTTTTTCGTGTGTGTTGCTTAAAATTTTCGTTCACAACGCTGAAAATGCGTACACGCCGACGAAACAAAACAAATACACAAATATATATGTATATCACAAATCATTCGACAAACAATCAACAAAAGCGCGTATTCTATCGTCGAGCTAGGATCATACGTCAAACGCAAACGTTGACGTTTCATTCGCTTTGATTTTTGACTCTTTGTTTTGGGAACGGTTTTTTCTGTCTGTTTTATTTTTTCACACATGTACAAGGACACAGAGTGGATCGTTGATTTTCTCTTCAATTCACAAAACCAACCGAAATCACTGGCTATTGCTTCACATTATTCTTTTTCTGTGGTTTTGCTTTTGATGATGAGAATTGCATTTTATTTGATTTCAGTTTCGTTTTTCGCGCTAATATTGACGACCGAAACCGTTTTTTTTTTTTTTGTTAATCGCTTCTGCTGAATTTTGATAATCACTGTGGCACTGGCACAACGAACGAACGATCTATCGAAAAAGAAATCGTTTATTGTCGTTAAACCACAAAACAGTCCAATGCTCAGTTGTACTTTGAACAGGGATATTCCCATGTGAATTTCTCCAATTGTGGGAATTAAATACACTGTAGTTTCTTTTTTTTTTGGTTCGTTCGTTCGTTCGTTCGTTCGTCTCTGTGATTTCTGGATTTTAAATGTGTGTTTCGCGGCCGTTTTCCATCAACTGATGCGATCTATTCGCTCGGTACCAGCCGAAAATTTTTCGCTGTCGCGCGCGCGTTCACCCGATCTCTCGCACGCTCTCAGTCACTGAGTTGTAATAAAAAAAAGTCCGACGCAACGGAACCAAAGCAAATACTAAAAATGAAAAGCCGAATGAAAATAATATCACTGCGAGATCTGGCGAGAGAGTGATAGAGAGAGAGAAAGAGAGAGAGAGAGAGAGAGAGTGAGAGAGAGCAAGAGTATGAGGCTGTGCGTGTTTGAGGTTTGACGAAAAAAAACCAATTTTCCTTTGTTCATTCGTGTGCGTTAATTCGTTCGCACTTTGAGAAATTATGAGACGGAAACGACAGTCGGATCCACACACTCTCTCTCTCTCCCTCACACAAGTCATAATCTTTTATTTCGGATCGTTTTCGTTTCTCAATGCGACTTTGACGTCGCTACCGCCGCCGACGCCGCCGACGACGACGACACATCAAAATATCGAGTAGAAGAAGAACTGTGAACAACAAGCGACACATACAGAAAATATATAAATATGCTCGAGCGTATAAAACAGAAATTAGTGCATAATTCTTTGTTATGAATCTCAGCGCGACGCACTCAACGCGTTAGATAAGAGAGTGAGCTAGCAAATGAACGAGCGAACGAGCGACCGAGATGCATAACAGATTATTATGAATATAAATATATTGATAATTTCGTTGGATGTATTTAAATCGGATTGTCGCAGTCGTAAGCCGATTCTATTTTTTTTCTTCGTTTGAATATGATAAACATAACTTGAAGTTAGGCGAAAGCGATCACCGGTCAATTGGCGATTTAAACGCACCGATTCCCATGAATAAGAAGCAGCAGATGAAAAAAACACGAAGTGTACATAAATTATGTGAATTAACATTTTTATGACTATTTCTGACATGATTGTTTCTCTTTGTGTGTGTCTCTCGCCAAAGAACTTTGACACGAAGCAATTCTCAGTTGAAGAGGACAGCATAACAACAAGTCAATTCGACGTCATTCGCTAGAAAATTGACGTCATTTTTACGAGAAAAAAAATGCCGAAAAATTACCAATTGATCTTGTCAATCCCATACAAATTGAACATCGTCAGAATATTCCTTTTCTAATGGGAAAAAAATTCCGATGTGAACAGCTAAAATAGATCACTTTCGAGTTCATTTCATTTTGCAGTCAGTTTCAGTGCGATGTGATTTGGTCTAAATCATAAGGAAGAGCAAGGCGTCGGTCGTACACTTGAACTGTCACTTCAGACTGTCGCGCGTAGACTCAAATCGTGCGACTAAAAATACAAATCCATGTCTATTTTAAGGATTTAGTTTGTTTTTGTTGTTCATCTTTTTCCTCTTTTGCAATTGAACGCGCCTTTCCGACCGAAAAAAGATTCTGAAGTTTATTTTCTCTGTTTCTATGTGAAAGCATCCATTCTTCCCCGAATGTGTTTGTTTATTCAACTTCAAGGCGGTCTCACTTGATACACAATCTAAGTTCGTTATGCATTTAAACGTACGCATACTCGTCGTACTTTGGTGAAACATGCATCTTTCGAAGAAAACCATGTCTATCAAAAATGACATGCATCGAAAAGAGCAACAACAAATAACTGGCGTTAAAGGCAAAAGATCGATTTACCAAAAATTGTATGCTGAAAAACACTGGAACATTCGTTCTGTCCCATAATTGTTTTCCGCGTGCATATTCCCTTCACCAACATGCGCCCTTTGCTAATCCGAAAAAAACACACGATTGGCGAACAAAAACACACACACACACGCATGCCTAATAAAATGGGGCTTAAAACCTAATGATGATGGCCACACGGGCCAATCATATAACCTGTGTGTCATAAAGCAGTGCAGTAGAAGCAACCGTAGCAAAAAAAAAATTGGCACGACACACGAAATAAACAACAAAACAAGGAGTTATCATGTTAATGAACTTACCCATTTTGTGTTCGTGTTCGTTTGAGTACGTCACCGTTTCGTATGGAACCCTTTTTGCTGAGCGTATGAACAGATGCCTGATGTCCGTTGCCACTGTGCACCTGGTGGCACATTTGCTGATACATCACCTGTTGTGGCGGTGGAATATAATGCTGTTGTTGCTGCATATAAACATATGCAGGTGATGGCCGATCGGCGACTTTCTGAGGAAAACTGCAAATAAGAATGGGAAATGGAAAGAAAGACAACATTACAAATCAATTTTTCACAATACATTTGGACATATAAAGATATTATACGTATAAATCAGCCAATAAAACATGTTGATTATGCAAATTTTCTTGTTATTTCTTCTTTTTTTTTTTATTGCCATCTCCACATCTTCATTCGTACGCAATAATAATGATTGCTGACGACGATTATGCCATCGATGTAAAATCGTCGCACCACGACCCATTTAGTCACTGTGTGCGTGATTGTGGCTGTGATTCTTGGAAAGAATTAAAATTGTTTTGATAAGATTTGATGTGATTCGATCATTCACGCCACACATTTCAATTCAAGTAATATAAAATCAAATCCACATTTAACAAAAAAAAAAACGGATCTATAAACAACAGTCACATCTTTTATGTATGTTTGTAGCACCTAAATTTATCAATTGATTTAACCTAGATTTATCTAGAATTGTAAACAAAGCCGCAGCAATGAAATGAAGAAAGAAACAAAACACTAAAAACGACTCACAATCGGCAAAAGCAGATTTGGTTAAATAGTCGCCAGCACAGCGAAAACATTTCCATTTCGTAAATGATCGCCGAATGCGTTTTCATAAGACGATACAACACACTGTGTGCCCTACAAACGGCATAAATATGGCGAAAGAACACTTTTGCATTCATTCGATGTGTCGCAATTCAATTTGAAATTCGAAAAAAAAAACAATCTCTCTCTCGCTCTCAATCGATGAATATTGAAAGTTGAAATAATCAATAAAAGAAACAAAAAAAAAAAAAAAGAAAGAAAAGAAATAAAAAAAAGAATCGTTGCTCGAATTTCGATCGGCCAGACCGTTGTCTACATACAAACTAAAGTGATAGCGCGCACGATACCGAACAAACCGAAATCACAGACAGACACAGTGGATTTGTTCGATGAATCGCCTTGTGTCCATGTGTCAATCACGTTTTTCCATTTGGATTTACTCGTTGCTTCTTTTTTTTTTGTTCGCGTTTTCGCCATGCAAATCCAAACTGAGCGGATGATATGTCTATTTTTACGGGGCGGACAGTGTATAAGCTTGCAGCACGTTTTCGTATTCATTTATCGGATTTGTCTATATAAAATGGTTTATTGTTTACGATTTTTAGCAGAAAGAGTGCGAGCGAGAAGAGTGTGGCGTGAGATATTCGATGGAAAGAGAGACAGATATAAAGAGACAGAAAGACAATGCAATTGCTTTGTATTCATCGAAATGATCCAAAAAAATGACACAAACGCATCGCAAGCGCGCAGGTGTTAATTTGTAAACGCGTTGATTAAAAATCAGCGATAAGAATATGTGTGTTGTTTTTGATCAAAACCGCCGTGCGTTCAATTTAATAACAATTGGATTATATTTCATTTTGTTCGTTTGTTTGTTGTGCGTTGTAATGTGAATGAAAAAAAAAAATTGATCATCATACCTATCGTTGTCAACAACATCAACAATATTGTCAACGAACTTTGTTCGGTCGTCCGTTGCACTTTTTGTATCAACGAACGTTCCCCCAATTATGAATCCCGATATGCAGATAATCATTGTGATTGAATTAGTGTGTAAATGAGCTAGGCTCGCAAACGATAACAAATGTTCAAATAAAGTTATTAATTTCACAAGTGAGTTCCAATTATGGAATCAATTTAATTCTAGCTAACGATCGATATCACATACACACACAAATTGTGTTTGAATAAAAATAATCACACATTTTGTTTTGCCTCAATTTTTCACTTAGAATTTTAACATATATGAATGCTCCGAATGAGTTGGAATGTATTTTCTTTTCACATTGATTCTTTTTTGTTCACACAAAATTATCACCGTTGAGCTGTTGTGTTCAAAACTCAATTTGGATTTCGAGCAATTTGGTTCAAGTGACAGTACACACTTGAAAGCAACCTCTTCAGTTCACTCAGAAAGCACCCGCCTATTTGAATTTGTTCTCTAATGAGTCGACGAAACGAATTGGATTCGCTAAAGCGGAAATGTTCTTTCTTTTTTTCTCTTTCATTAAATCATTAATTTGAACAAAAATATATATTTAGTTTTCTTGTCGACCCTTTTGTTTATTGCCCAAGTCCTTGACAAGTGACGTTCTCTTGTGTGTATTTTTTTCGTTGTCGTTTTGTCGATGGGAACTGCGTTACACTTTACTGAACCCGTGTGAACTGAATTTGAATTTAAATTTATGTGATATTATTTATCGTTAGGAGAAATTAAAACATCTTGTCGAATGTTGAAGGTGAAATGAGTGGTTCGGTTTTTCTTTCTAATTTTCAAGCAAAAGTGTCCTGTCGTACAACCACCTCGGAATGGATGTGTTGCAATACTGATGGCACGGCAGAGCCTTCAATGCCGTTTTAATCCACCAACAGCAAAATTCAATATGGGCCACAATAGTGCAGAGAGCTATACACGAAAAAAAATAAATGGTAAGAAACCCGAAAAGGTACACACATATGCGCTTCGCGCACGGACACTAAACAAAACAAAACATGTGATAAAAAAAAGGAATGAAGACAACTGTGCGATGCAAAGAGAAGAGACGAAAGAGAATGAGAGAGAAACTATATACACACAACGTACCGAATAATGCAAACGAACGAGCAACAAATGAATGAGAAAGAGAAAGAGATAAAGAAAAGCAGCAAAACAAATGCTGTTTTGCTGTGTGTGTCTCTTGCTCTCTTTGTTTTTGTCTCTCTTTTTCGCTCTTTCTCGCTCTCTTTCTCTCTCTCTTTCGTCTGTGTATGCATGCCCCTGGACGAGACTACTGCTAATCTGTTCATCTATACACCGTTCGGCTGGCCAGTGTTAATGTGCATTTACTATCACTAGACGTGCGACGAAGATATTACGTATTGATATGGATAACAATTTGGCATCCTTTGCATTCGTCGCCAATTGTAATGGTAATGATTTGAATCTCACACAGTGACCAACTGTGTGCTCGTTTCCTTTTCTTTCATGTATGTTGCCTGTAAATTGATATGGATATGGTTGGTCCATGTGCCTCTAATTGTTTCCTCTTTTAGTTGGAGCAGACCGAACACAAAACGACAAACATACATACTGTGTGTTTTTTCCAACCAAAACAAAAGACATGATTGTAAACTGACTACTACTGATAGATACTGTACATACGGTATGAAGCAATTACCGGTCACTTTGATGTGCAAATGTGCATCCCTGAAAAATTTTCTACTATATTTTCTTCTAAAATGAAATACTTTTTCAACCATTTTGCAAAGGTATAACCAAACGCTTGGAAAAAGTTATTGATTCGTCATAGGTGCATGTCGACCAATTGTGTGTATCATAGTAAAGGTAAGAAATCGATTTCTATATTGACATTGAATATATGTGGTAAAAGCGAATTTAAAATTGAATCTATATCGAAAATGACAATAACGTTATAATTGAATTTTTCCAAGTTGCAGTTTATACAATGGAATATTGTTCGGGTTTCGTTTATTTTTTTCTCTCTATTTTTCTCGTAAAAGAAAAAGCCTCGGTTGCCTTCCACATTCAATGGCCTCCAAGGTATTTCTTTTGTGTTGACAAAGAAACGTTTTTGGCAGCATTTTTATTCTATAAAATTTCAATTCAGTCTGGATTCATTGGATGCCATGCCTCACGGCAATTGCCAAATGATGCTCTTCGGCAGTCGATGATCGGTCCAAACGATTCGAAGCAGTAATGAAATCTAATATTTTCGGGAGAGAGATATGGGCACAGCATACAAACGCCGAAACGAAAAAGAACCGAAACCCGAACCAAATCAGTTAACTTGTTATTTTTCATTTTCGTTGTTCAACTTTTAAAAAGTGTAACAGCTGCTTCTGGTTTGCCCATCAACGAGAGAGAGAGAGAGAGAGAGAGAGAGAATATAAATTTTTCTTCTATTTATTTCATTCCGATGCATTGTATGTTTAATGTTTATCTTTTTTGGTTTTGGGTGTTTTTTTTCTCGTCTTCGTCGTCTTCGCTCTTTTCAGCATACTTTTTTTTCTGCTTCTTCTTCTTTCTTGCTGTAAACCTGAAGAGTAGAGAGTGGCGCATGTGTGCCACGATACACGATACGAATTTATGGAAATAAAAAAAAACGCATGATGAAACTCAACATAATCTCGCCTCGTACACAACACAAAACGCTCAATGGTTTTTTGTTGGTTATATGCGCTTCGGATTATAAGAGTGAAGGGAAAAAAACCATCAACATGCACTTAATAAGTACTGCTGCACATGTCGATGTGCGCAGCTTCTCAGAAGCTAAGCGAAGCGAACAAGCTGAACCAAAATCAAGAAAATTATTTATGTGGATGGAAGAGCAGAATCAAAAAACAATTCAACACACTATATGTGCATTAAGAGTGTAAACAAATTTGGAAATTAATGTACTTCAAATGCTGTGAATGATGTACTTTACAGCGTTTTGTAGGAGGATATCGACCGAAGAGAGAGAAAGAGAGAGAGAGAGAGAGAGAGAGAGAGAGCAGCTAAAATCGATTGCCTTCTATGACATTATGCAAGGGAATTAAAGCCGCTCTTAGAACATTCGTCTTCCGATGAACGGTCGAGAATTAGGTCTCTCGGCAATAAATAAAAATTCGTTGAACGTGCTTAGTCGCAGATTTATCGCCTTCGTTTGCGGATGTGATCCAGCACGTATTTTGCGTACACACAATACGAATACGTAGACACAATACACAATACACAATTCGGTGTTGGGTTTATTGAAGTTTCCACTTCATCTTTTCATTTGAATTTGAACCATTTTGCAATTTGTGCGTTGAACACTTGATCCGTCGATATATCCAACCTGTTGGAATAATTGAGTCGGAATTATGCATCTGTTTCGATTGTTCGGCACGAATATTTTCATCGCATTCGATATGGCAAACCAATTACTTTTGCTCGATTTGACAACTGATCACGATCGATTTTTTGC